GATGCCCTCAGATTCATTTCTCATCTCATAATTTGCAGTAAATTGTTATTAGCAGCAAAGGCATCAAGAATTTATCTTTGTTATTCGTACAAAGAAAGTAAGAAACAGAGTTTTACATGTCTGCTACCTAATATTAATAAACTAATTGTCAAAGTTTGACAGCAAAATCTGACCTGCAACTTGTAACTCAAAAGCAGACTAGCATTTGTATAATCAGTTTGAGTAATACAATTCTTCAGAAGTTTAAAAGGAGCATAGGGTATGAGTTTCTAGGAGAAATACCCCACAAGATCATTCTTAACAGTGAGAACAGCTGATGGCCTGGGAACAACCACTGGGTTTCTCCCAGGAGCAGTAACTTTACTGCACTGTGTATCTGAAAATGAAATATTGCTTCAGTCTTCAGCTGATTTTGTCCTTCATAAGTGTATTTCTTGCCTCCTTTCCCCACTCTCCATGCAAGTAAAGAATTTTGGGGCATTCATGAGAGGAAACTGCCAGAAAAAAAAAGGAATGTGTAGTTTACACCTCAATTCATGATGATCAGAAAAAAGAAACATGTCCAACTCTAACAATCTGACAGATAGTGACCACTCTGCTGCACTGGTCAATAGGAAATTATGTACCTTGCCCATAGCTTAAAAAGCCATAAAAACACACAATCACTTGATGTTATCAACTGTCCCACTACTGAATGGCATGCACTGACAGCAATATTTAACAGGTTGTGGAACACAGATGGAATGCAGAACCCAAGACTACCAAAACTGAAAGGGAAGCTCAACAGGAACTAAAATACACTTTGTTTATACAATCCCTTTCCCATCCTTCCTACTGTCAGATACTCTTTTCTAAGATCTAGGAGTCTCCATACCATCACAGTCCTCTCTAGGAAGTGATAAATATCTTCCCTAGACTGCTGCCTTCCAAACCCACTCAAAACGAGGGCCTGTGACCTGTTGTGTTTCTCTGTCCTTTGACAAAACGCAGAAAACTAAAAGTTAAAATGGTCCTCACCAGCACTGTTGACAGCACAAGTCAGTAATAGCCAGTTTAACCATTAATCAGAATCTCTGTCATCAGAAATTAAAAATACTCTAGTCACATACCCTGATGCTTGATGGTGAAAAAAAGACACACGTACATTTGTCACCACAATCGCTATGGAAACCCTTTATCGTGCAACAGGCACTGGGAAATTTCAGGCTGTTACAACATCACGTCCATGGACGTGTCACACAAAGCAAAACAAGAATCTCATGAAAACAAATATCAATCATTAACACTTTTTTAATTTCTAATGCAGACTTGGACAGCCGCCAAAGAGAAAGGAGAAGCATCTGTGAGGCTGCTGTATGTCAAAGTGCCACACAGAGAGTGCTCATGCCTACTGACATGAGACACAAAGAATGTTGTGCTAGAGATAGGCCAGGGGGAGGATATTGCCCCAAAGAAGGAAAAAGTTGCCTGGCTGAGACCAAGTCACACCAAAACACCACCCTGCCCCACACTTACATTTTTTAATACTTTAGTTCAGCAAGATTTTTTTAAAGGATTGTTTTGTTTTTCTTCACCATAGTATTAAAAGCATGGCTTCTGGTATTTACATGAAACTTACCTATAAACAACAAAAAAAGTTTAAAATATCCAGCCTTCTCTCTTACCCAGATAGTACATTTCTTACGGAATTAATGTTGAGACTAGAAAATAAACTTTGTTCTCTGACAAGCAGGAATACTTCCATTATTTTAAAAAGAGAAAGTATGGGCAGAATTTGGTTGTATAGATTTACTGGGAGAAAAACCGTTTCTGGTTCAAGCTAATCTAAATATATATTTATATTCCAGAGAATAAAAAGCTGATATTTTTTTGGGTCATTCAAGAGTCAGAATTTAATTTCAGCAAAAAAATTAAATATTTTATTTCTTGCTCTTTAACAGAAAAACACTGTTTACATGGTATTTAAATTAGCTTTCTTTTTAGCAGAAAATCAAAATCATAATAAGGGACTTGATTTTTTTAAAAGATTAGGCTATAAATTCTTTAGTTTTTTTTGTTGTGATCTATACTTTTCAGAGAAATACAACAGACCCATAAGTTTTTACTGAAAGAAAAAAATAATGCCTGTAAGTTGTAATAAAGCTTCTTGTTATTTAAAATGGGAAAATGTGAAGCAATATTCTATTTTGTCATCTATTTTTGAAGAAAATAAGCAGTAAAAAAATTTAAAGGATAGGAGGATGTGCCCAATAATTAGGTGTGTGTTAGGTGAATAAAGTATGTACTTTATAAAACAGAGTGAAAAAGAACAGGGGTTAATAAAACAGTGAGTGTGGAAATTATTGGAATTTATCCCTGACCTGAGCATGGACTTGCATGGCTAGAACACCAGAAACTTTCTAAGTGCTTCTCCAATCAGCATAGCAATTTTGTTCTTTGAAGCCAGGAAGCCTTTACTTACTAACCCAACTGATCAATACTTTAAATTTTGAATTTCTCACAGACACAGTTAAGACCAGGGAAATTGCTAGCAATCATAATAGGCTGGAATTTCTACATTACTTAATGACATGCCAAGGGGTTTTAATTTATTTTGTCTGTATGGGAACAAACTCTGTTTTCTGTGGATACTTTTGATTTTTAAAAGTCTTGAGATTTTTCAATCACAGCTTCCAATATTTAAAAAACTCCACTGTTAGTATTTTAAAAATGCTGTCTCACCAAGTTATCTGGATCTGAGTTTCGGTTTAAGGGGATAAACTTCTAAATGTACAGCCTCTGTGTAGTTGCCTGGGACTCGTAGATGTCAACACTGGCTAGAAAGCAATTCAGCAGAATAGTTATCTGATTCAGCAGCTGCCTACAGTCAGAATCTGGAATGAGAAGGCATGAATGTGCACAGCTAGTGTCATGTGAGAGATTGCCTAGGTATCCAAGACAGCTGCCTGTGACTGACAGCTACAACCACAGCCCAACACAGACTCCAGCCCGAGTACATAAAACATCCAGTGGCTGAGGCCGGAGATGCTGAATCAATTCACACAGCAACAAAAGCCTGAATGCAGACAGTGTAACTGAGCCCAAGGAGTTCACCATGAGCTGGACAGGTTTCTAGGTGCACTGAGTATTGACTTAACCTTCACTGACTGCCAGGAGTACTTAGACACCTCGTAGGTCAACACCTACACAACACAAGCTTCTGGGTTTAGGCATCTTAATGTAAAGCTGAACACAACTCTGTTTCATGCCCTTATGTGTTCCCCACCAGTGCTCCCAAAAGAATTATTCCTGGACTCAATCAGCCAGTTGAAATGACTGAGTACACATATATCGTCCTGACACAATAAGAGCATCTTGAGCTGAAAAGGAGGGAAAGGCATTGTTAATGATAATGGTACATGCTGCTGAGGACAATGGTGATAACCCAGAGGTGAACGTTTCCACTGGGAGGAATTACTGAAGTTAACATGTAAGAACTCTCTCTTTAAACATGGGGAACATTTTTAGAGGGCTTTTATTTTGGTTTGCACCTCACTTCTCTTACACCCGTGATGAGATTTCTCTGCCTTTCTGCCCTTGAAACAGCACTGCATACTGCCCTCTCCCTGGTGGTTCCTTGCCTACAGCTATCCCAGGGCATTTCATGTAGAGATATGAGCTCCAAAGACTGAGCAGCTGTTTACAAGCATTAGGCAAGTGAAATGTGTGAGGTGGGGCTCCAAACCCAGAAGGAAAGGCCACGGGTGGCAGCACAAGTTAACATCAACTAGAGGGCAGCCCGTAGGCTCAAGAACCAGCCTCAGGTCCTCAAGAGAGCTTGTTCAGAGCTACAGTGCCAGACAGAATCACAGTCTCTCTTAACCAATCCCCAGCAGCACAGAGGCTGAAGATGCCTCTCTGTATAGCCCATACATCAAGAGCCTATTGTGAAATATAAGTGCCATGGGCAGTGGTTATCTCCAGCATCATATGGATTTCTTACACAGTTCTGTTAAACAGAGTCGGGCACTGCAAGGACACTGTGCATTCAGGTCAAGCGGTTTGAGGGTTTGTAAATCAATCTGTCTTTCAACAGAAGATTATGTTCAGAAACTAAACAATCTAAAATAAATACTCGCTTCTCATAATGAAAATCTTAACTAAAAAAAATTGCCATTCAATAAGGTGGTAAAGCTTTAACTTTCAATTATGATTCCGAAATATAAAAGGCCCTCACAGAAATCCTGGTTTGGGCAACTGAATTGTGCTAACACAGTTCCACAGACCAAGCTTATTTCCCACAAAGCATATGGAGCATACAAAAAGCCTGAGTTTCTCAACTGATTCCACTAAGTATGGCATTGGTACTGGCTTGGTAATTTTTTTTTTTCATATTTCCTTGCTCTTCCATATTTTTATAGCACTCAATTAAGTCACATTTAATTTTTGCTATATGTAATGTTTCCTTTCTGCTAGTCTGTTTCTTCCTTAGAACTGAAGTTACGTCCCTAGATTTCTACATCTTCAATTATGGCTCACAAGACAAAGTTCTACTATTTTTAAATAAAGCAGAACTAATTCAAAGCAGCGTATCTAATTAATCAAAATAGCTAGCAGTGCAATATTTAAAATAACTGAGGGGTGCCTGGATTATAGCAACATTATTAGCATGTGATTAATAAGCAGTTGAAGTATTACATTTGCTACACATTTGCTAAGTTATTTTATCTTGCTTTAAAGTTTGGTGGCAAAGTTTCAAGCCATAGTTAGGAGATTTGCTCTATTCAGTATTATGTTGTTAACCCCACCATCTGGTCAGACAGCTGAGGGAACTTAGCCATATGTGGGGGGCATATTTCTCTCTTGGGAAATATATTTCTTATAGAATTATGCAATGGTTACCAGTTTCTATCTTACAACGGTAGGATCAAAAAATACAGTAAAATACTTTGTAGACAACCTGAGCTCAGTGGGCCCTGTATTTAACTGTTACTTATGTAAGAAAATAAGATGGCACTTACTTGAGGACCAGGCTGACCCTGAAAAAAAACCAAGAAAAACAAAAGGTTATGGAAAGTTATGACAAGGATGAACTCCTTAAATAGTAGAAAATAGTTACAGTGCTCTCTAATAAGGAGAACAAAACACAGAGTGACTGCATTGAAGTCAGATTTTGGACTCTTAAGTTGGTTGATACTGAATTTGAGTGTTTTAATTCAAACAGATGACCTTTCTTGCAACTAACTGATTTTAGAAATAAAATACAAAAACATATAAAAAGTGCATTAGAGAAACTTATTTTAGATATTCTTAATGATTTGGAAATGATAGGAAGACCTAATTGACAGTTCTCAAGCAAGAAAGGACCCAGAATTGCTGAGCTGATTCAGAGCAGGTATTATGGGTTTTTCCTCTTTTATTTCTCTATTATGGCTCACCTCCATGCTTCAAGGAGATGCTAATTATTTACTGTTACTGCTTATTGAATGAACAAAGTCTCAAAACTGGAGGAACACATTGCTGGACAAACAGTAGTCTTTTTGCCATTGCTACAGGCGCCGCAGTTTTAAGCAAGTATAAACCAGTATTTAAAAAAGCAAGTGTGAAAGGCCTGAAATGAGCTTTTGTCAGTCAATCCAAGAAGACAGCTGATATATTTAGTCTCTCTTATTAATCAACATCCCCCTTAGATCACCCCTAGACAAGTGGAGAGGCACCCTTTGCACAATGAGGAACTGTATTTCTTCTTGCTGCAAGCCCTTACAGAGCAGAATCCCTATCCCTAATTTCCTTAGACCAGAAAAAACAGTGAAAGTCATGAATTAGTTTACTGCCCTTAAGATAAATTATTTGCATGAAGCAAAATTATTTTAGCAAACAGTACAGTAGCTGTGACTATAAAAAACATGACCCAGACAATCAGCTCACACTGTAAGGACAGAGAAAAATAATTACATATTTCTCCTTAGAGAGAATTCCTTTAAACGCCTAGGGCTAGCTTAGCTTCTGGTGTTTTATGATAATTAAAAAAATAGTTCACTTAAACTGAAACTATGTTTCCTTTTGTTGACAGAAACTGAGCATGGAGACTTCTTTTAAATCTTATAAAACCACTTCAGCTGTAAGGTAGTTTTACGGAGAGTTGAAATTTTTCTGTCTGAACATCAGGAAACACTTTTTTGACTGTTAACCAAGCACAGGATCATGGGAGATTGTGGAGTTTCTATTCTTAAAGACACTCAAAAACCATCTAGACATGATCCTGGTCACGCTGCTTGAGATAGCTCTACTCGAGCAGAGAGTTACAAGAAACGACCTCCAAGGTCAACTGGTGTAACCAGTTCCAACTTCCAGCTTCAACCATCCTGTGATTCTGAGCAATTTTAGATGCGGTGGGAGGTGGAAGCATTTCAACTGGGAACCATTATCAACATGAAAAGCAAATAAAGAAATGCTTTTTATAGTAACTAATAAAATTTCTTGTGCCAATTGCAAACCACAAAAAAATGGTATTTAAATTCACACAAAGCATTTAAAATATTTTTTAAATATATGGAATCACGCTACAGAGGAATAATAGTAAAATACAGAATTATTGTGGCTATCTAATCTTTACACTGAATGCAGCATAAAGTATTCCTTGTTGGGGATGCTGCAATTTCTATTCATTCCTTAGAACAAAACTGCACCATAGAGAATATAAAAAAACCCCAAACTTATTGGCTGAGGTTGGCAGTTCAAGTATTAGCTAAAACTTTCTGAGTTGGTGAGCTCTATGAAGTTACACATCATGCTGGGTTAATGAAAATGATTGAGACTCCTCAGCACTCATATATTACCTCAACCTTCCCCTCACAGCAGGTTTTAAGCTATTTTATGTTATACCTGATCTTAAAATAATCAGGAACAATAAAATTGTTCCTGCTTGCCAGTACAATAAAATCGTATAAATTACCTAAACTGAGGTCTGTGCATGCAATCTTTATACATAAAATTCAGAAAACCCTTGCTCACAAGAATATCTAAAGTTGCAATATATTTTGACCAAAGCATTAAAGGCTGTCTCTGACATATATAAATTAAAAAATCAAAAACTTCAATGAAGGTCTAAAATTACCAAAATGTTTCAACAAAGACTTGACTTAAAGCAGTAGAAAGCAAATGAACAGAATACATGCACATATATTTCAACAATGAGATTTGAAAACTGACTCTTTTCCCTTCATCTAAGACATAGAAGCTTCTAAGTGTCCACATGGTACATGCTATATGTATGATACAAGAGACATATATACATAACAGAAACATATCTTGAATTGAATATGAGGTAAGGGTTGCAATTGTGCTCACACAAAAGCGTTTTCTACTCTCAACAGCACTACTTTGCCCTTCTGGTACTGAGCATTTATAATTACTCTTCTTTCATGTCTCCAATAGAGAAAAAGCTGCAAAATGAATTTTTATAGGACAATGTTCTTTCAAGTAGACAGAAAACTCAATGAGATATCGGGGACTATACTTGCTGCATTACTTTTAGTTTATATATGCTACAATATTATAATTATCCTGCATTTAGCTATAAATGCAGATGCTGAATACAAAAGTACTCAAAAGCAGGATGATTTTAACCCCTCTGCTATTAGCTCCTACAGCATGGAAGGAAATTTGCATTAGTGACGGTAATTATTTTCCAGTTTTTACAATGGTTCCTAATCCTTCAATATTTCTACATAATCTTATCTACTCCTTGCCCTACTATCCACTGCAGTTACAGTAGAATTTTCCCTTCTCAAAAGTGATCCAGTAAGTGACACTACCCAGAGGGCGCAGCAGGCACTGAATTATGGAACTCATCAGCTCTTCTTACAAAGGTATGGGTAGAAAAGCATCACAACACGCTGACATTCTTAATTGTAAAGGGTTATTGTCACACAACAACAATTCAAAGTGTGGGACACAAAAAAGGGACTGTTAATTTTGCCATCTCTCATTTTTGCATGTTGTGAAAGGGTCAGGAATAAAGCTCATTAAGTTACTTCGTTGTTCATTAAAAAACTCTCTAAACATGAATTCAATCTGATATTATAGCTCATTGGAGCAAGCTCAATCTTGATTTATCTGCTTGTGTTCCCAAAATGGCCTCAGGACTGCTGAAATCAGTCTGGTTCACTGCTGCATAAATTGCCTCCAGTTCATGTTACTTGTGGATTAAAATGTTTTAGCTGTAAGTCTTTCTCTATATTTTAGAAAACCAACGAGGAGAAAATACTGTTCAAGACTGAAAAGTCAGCATTACTCTGATTTTTGTCTAATGAAATCTGTTATATACCTTAAAATTGATTCATTGATTCTAGCTACCAACTAATTGCCGTCTTCGCAGGCATTTAGGGATCAGTCCCTCCACCACTGACTGATTAGGCAGATTTGGGTGGTTGCTACTTTGAACCCCGGATTATTGCTCATGTACTTGAGTATCTCAACTGAATAATGCCTATTTTTTTTTTTATAATCTAAATTACTACAGTGAGTATAGCTGCATAATATCTCATGGTTTCAATTTTCAGAACAATTTTCCCTTCTACATTCCTATTTACTAGCTTAATACACTATTTTGAGGCAAACAAAGGGATTTGGCAACCTATTCTAATTGCCATATTGGAAGGTCTTCTACTGTTGTCAATTAATCCCCTCCTAGCAATTGAACCTAATATTAGCTGCTGATACAGAAATGATATTAAAACAAAAAGAAAATATCCACGGTGTAACTAAAGTCAACAGGTAAGTTATCAATCCCCTAAAAGAGATGAAAGAAAAAGCTAATTGACTGCATGTTGCAAACTTCACAAGTTACTTAAAAGTACAAAGAAATCTCAAAGAGCAGAGAAAGAGGAGAAAATGAAAGCTGACACTGAAGGTTAACAAGTTTAGCTTGCAAAGGAAATGGAGCTTGTAGTAAGTAAAAGGATAGAAAAGAAAATAGGTATCCAGAGTATCAGTGAAAAGGGGTGCGCCGGGAAGGGAGAAAAGAGAGGGAGCAAAAGGAATAGCAAGAGACAGTGCCAAAACTGGATTTTCACACCTTTGCCACGGTGTTAATCTCTAAAGAGCTGGGAACATAAACTTCCAGGCTCACAGATCGAAACATAAAGCTATACAAATATACACACAAGTAAAAATGCACCAACAAATGCATTGTATAAAATTAAATGTTATTTTGAACTTAATTCAAGCAGCATATCCCTAATGAATATCTGGAATATCATACAAATGCATTTATTATGGTACATGAGGCTGTTCAGATTTAATCAGCCAACAATCCATGCACAGAAATTAAAACACAAAAATTAAGAATTTGTGAAAGAAGGAAGAGTCACAGAAATGTAGTCAGAAGTGGTATCCTGCTGTTTGAAAGGCACCATGAAATTACCCTTGGACAGAGCACCCAAGGAGGAACATCTGCCTTCCGATCTAATTCAGAAAGAAAACGATAAGTGAACAGGAGAAGCAGGGCTGACCTCCATTTCCCTGCACAGGCAAAAAAGACTGAAGTGGCTTTTCAGCAACCTATTAAAAATCCATGCTACTGAATTGCAACTGCTAGGTTAAGGTATGCTGAAGGAAGCCAGTGTTTGACTAACATACATTTCGGCATAGGTAATTTTAAAAAGCAAAGAGGGGAATACATGAAAGACCTAAATTACACTGGTTTTGAACAAATCACCTACCAGCTTTCCATCCATACCAATCGGACCCTGGGATAATCAAAAGTCAAAACAAAATGGAACAGTTAAATCAGAGAAACACTGAAGATGAGGGGGGAAAAAGAGACTTGGGGAATACTGTGGACTATAGAAGATGAGTAACTGTGTCAGCAGCTAAATGCAGTACATTTTGAGAATGAAGGCACAAGAAAAGAAACAACAAAAGAAGCAGACCTAAGACAGAATTAATAAAAACAGCATGGTGGGAAGTAGCCAGGCAATAACTGATATTTAACAAAAGACAGATTCAACATGCAATGAAGGAATTGTTAGTCTGG